ACACTTGGGCTTCATCACAGTGTTTTACATTTGAAAGTATTTAGATAAGAATTTTATTGATTATTCATATTCAAATATACAGCAGAGTGCTTAAATAAAGCGTAATGGGCTTGCCTTATCAGATTGCTGCCCAGAGATGTCTATGAATCAGACTTTGAGACTGAACTCTGTTCAGTTAATAAAGGTGATCTGAAAATTGGCTTATTACCTATGTGCACATATTAATTGAAATATATATATGTAGTTGGAATCTCTTTGTTGGCACCCTATAGCCTTAGGACATAATTGTAATATGTGAAAAACAGTTTCTGTCCAGGTATGTGCTAACAGGGAATCAGTCTGACAGTTGCTGTGGTTCTCCATTTGCATTATGAGGGAATAGATGCTAAGATAATCATTTAAATAAAATATTCATGACTGTACATGTATATTGCATACCATGAAAGTACTCTCCCTCTTTCTTCTCTACAAATCGAATTTAGAGGTCAGGAGAAAATTCTGCTTATTACCCCCAATTAATTATATCAATCATTTAATTAAAAGAATCATTTCACACAAGAGGATTTCTTCTTTTTTTTTTTACCCTACAAATTAGTTAAGAGGGCAGAATGATCAGAGGCAGAAAATGAAAGAAATTTTAGTAAAAGCTATGATCTTACCCAGGTGAATTTCTTTGACAATGGTGTAACAGTGGTACATTGCACTCAACATCTGTGCATTCTTCATCGTTGTTGCAAGGTTTCCCATCAATCTCAGTTTCTTCGGGTTCCGCTGGAATAATGTTGACGGTGATGTCGGTGGGACTTAGTTGGGATTGGTTCTGGACTTCTTGGTAGGAGGGTGGCTCTGTTGAGCTTTTCTTGCCCGTTTTGTTAGAAGTGGGGTTGCTGGTAATCTCGGTGTAGCTCTGCTTATCAGAGGATTTGGGGTTCATTTTAAAAATGTTGGGAAGACATGTTGATTTGGTGGAATCCCCATTCCCTGTCCGTGAGGAGTCGGACACAGAACTCGAGCGGCCAGTGTTGGGTTGAGACTTGCTTCTTCGAATCCGTTTCGCTGCCTGTATTCTTTCTAACCTCTGAGATTCGACTTGATCAATATCCTTAGGCTGTCAAAAATAAATGAAAAATGCAGACTTAACATTTAACAACAGCTTTGAATGCTAAACCACTCTCAGACACATTTTATTTTCTGTGGAGGGTGAGGGAATGGGGAAGCTCTTATAATATTTGTATTTGATTAAACAATACTGTATTTCTTCTAGTTTTAAAGATAATGTGAAACATTAAAAATCTTCTTTTTTTGTGCCAACAGAGCATTCTTGACTTCCAAAGCTTAGTATATACAAATATTTTATTTAGATTAAGATCTTTTAATGAGAAAACATTATGTGGTACATGCAGAAGTTGTGGATTGAAGTTAAGAGCTGGAAATGTTTTCCATTTTCCACTCCCTTCTGTTTTATTTTAGGTATTGAATGTGTTCACAACCAAATAACTTCAGATGTTTTTTTTCTTTATTTTTCTGAAATATATTTCAGGATTTTTAAAAATGGTTTTGTTACAGAAAAAAAAATATGAATGTTTTTCTTGTTGTTTCAGGACCCAAAGGATACACCACCTCCAACCAGAGTAGAGACTAAAGATGAAAGAAAAGAGAGAAAGGTAAGAGAAGTGCAGAAAGGTCACATGTATGGAGACTGTTGATCAGAATGTTATTGTATGTAAGGTTGAATATCCTCATAATTTGCAATTTAGATAAGTACATGGTTTGACATCTCTTGTTCATAAATGGATGTTTAGTTTTTCTCGAGATTGTTTTTGATACAGATTCAACTGATTTTCAATTTATTTCATTTATGAATATAAAGATGCAAATTGAAATAGCTCTTTGTAGAAGAGAAATTATTTAGAGTGTTTGATGTTCTACCAAGGAGACTGAGAGGTTGTAATAGCCAAGCATCGTTGTGTATTAGGGAGTTGGCAGTAGCTACTGTAGGGGCTGAGGGGATTAATTAGTGCCAGGAGCTTACATTCCTAATAAAAACATACTCTTCACTGTATTGATTGCTACTGCTAATGTCTTCCACATGCAACTGGCTAATGAAGCTCTATTATATCAGTAGCTGTTATTCAGTGCTGCACAAATATTCCCTCCCCCACTTTATATCGCTGAACTGGTTGTATATTATCTAGATTGTCCGGCTGCATACCACGGCCAAAATGCAGCAGTGGATCAAGGATTTTTTTTTATTATATGCTTGCTTGGGAGGATCAAGAAAAAAAGGGGTAACCTACACACAGAGATGTAGATCACACCAATGTCATGACTTTCATAACAGTACAGTTCTTTTTGGCAAGGGTTTGTCTAGAAGGGATAGCTGTCTAACTATTGCCGTATGCTACCTGTTCAGTCGTTTACATTTAGTCAACAGTTTTGTTATAGAACTTGAACCTCTTAAAATCACAAAAGGTGAAGGATTTTGTTTTCAGCAAAGACATTTTCATTTGGCATTAGTACAGGAAAAAATAACAGATTAATGTTAGGTATTTCAATTGTGTTAAATGTCTCGCAGATTATATGTATATGTTTAGTGTTGAGAATATTTGTTAAACACATGCAATTAGAAGTAATAGTACAGATAATAATGACAGTAAGTAAGGTCTATGAAGACTTGTCATTGTAAAATTTAAAAAGAAAAAAGACAAAATTTAAAAGTGCATAATTTCAGCAAATTGTGTGGAACAAGCTATTCGTGCTGAAATAAAACATTACTTTTGCATCGTAGAGATTTTCTTCTTAGCACCAACCTCATTCTCTTGAACATTCAATTTCAAAAGCATGAACGACCATAACCATCAACCCAGCCCATTGAATAGTCCTGGATTTGATTCAACATGGTGTTTTCATTTGTAATTTCATGGTTCAGAGAATCTCAGAAATGAAAATTTGCCCAGCCAAACTTAAGCTCCGCTCATGTTTAAAAATCCCTTGTTCATAATGGTGTCAAACTTTGGCAGAATAGCCCATTTAAAGTGTTTATAGCTATTTATAACATCACTATTAGTCAGTAAAGCTTTCAGCTGTAAATTTTGGAGAAAGTAGAAGGGAAGTAACTCTAAAATGTTACCTTGCTTTTCTTTTCAGAGGAAAGAAAGAGCAGAACAGATTGCTTATAAGCTGGAGCAGGACTTAGCCTTATGTAAGTATCTAGTATCAGGTGAGGGTAGTGTAATCAGATGCAAAATAATAGACAAGCTGTCAGATGCACCTTATAAGACGGTATCGTTATATCATGATATAGGCCATGTCATATCTATCTTTTGTCAGGGGAGGGGAAAGCCTCTATTGATTCCCAATACACACTAACATGTGTTTAGGCTGAGTAGACTGACGTTCTACCAGTCATTAAGTCAAGAAAAAGAGAATCATTGGATGCAGTGTGTCACTTGAGAGCAAAGGGGAAAAAAATAACTCTAAACCTGGCTATAAAGCCAATCCTTTCTATTTAAGCAGAGTGTAAGCATTAATGGTGGTGCTATCATGGAGAATGTTATGTCCCTACAATTCCAAATGGGGGATGAAGGGATAAATAAGATATTTTTGTCTTTCTCTCATATTTGAAGATTTTGAAAGTTGTGATCTTTCATATTTTTGCTGATTATTAAGAATTTCAAATTTTAATTGTGTGCTTGGTAATGGAATTCAATATTTTCTTTGAAGGAACCAGGGGAAGTGAATTGGCTATATTCATTCTTGTAGTGTTTTAAAATTGGGTGGAATATAGGATTAGAATGTAGCATGAATGTCTCGCAAAATCTTGCACAAAATAAAAATGCTTCACAAAGTATAATTGACTGATCTGGATGCATCATTCAATAAACACGATATGAGTAGTAAAAAATTTAAAATGCTTTGTAAGCAAAGTTTCCTTCTGCCCATCATTTATAGATCAGCATAAAGTAACAATACTTGTAATCGGTCACTGAAAATGTCAGTTTTTTAGTGCTTTTCAAATGTAAACAAATGTGGCCATGAAGTATTGTATAGGTTCTCATTAAGAGAAATGTAGGGAGAGATTTAGGGTTATAATGTGTATTCCCTTGGAATACCCAGTACTGGCTAATTCATGTTGGTATTTGAGTGGCATTCAATAATTGGATTCATGGGTATTTTTTCAATTAACATCTTAACAATCGATGGAAATAATTACTTTTTCTCATAATTTCAGAGTGTCAATTAAGATAATTGCATGGGGATATTGAGATGCTTTTCATATTTAAAGCATGCACAACATTACGCAAATTAAATGTAATGCAGGGCGCTTTGAAACTAGGGGGTAAAATTTGGATATGATTTTTTTTTTTCATAATTTATAAGTTGGCAATGATCTCTGAAATTTTATAGAAAATTAAGTTTGTTATGTCGAATGACATAACTTTAATAAACAATTTTTGATACCAAAATAGAGCATTGACTGATATGAAATGTCAAGTTCTGCACTTGTTTCTTTGATTAATACTCACTCCTAGCTGCCAACCCTTACGATACTTGTTTAAAACTTTTAATAGTGTGAGGATCAAAAACACACCTTACGATTTGTCTATTTCTTCTAATTTCTGTTTTTCTCCATCAAAAGTTTGAAACACTAGAATGTTTATAGTGATTCACCTCCAGTTTTCACTAAATTATAATAAAAAAAAAATCATAGTCCTGACAGTGCTCCGTTGTATGTCACTGTCTGTTTCTATTATAACTTTGATTTCAATCATTTCAGCATGAACGAAATAGAAAAAAAACTCCAGTGATTGGGGGGGAGGGGGGGTCTTTACAATTTTTCATTTCATGAGGTTGGCAGATCTGCACACTAAAAAATTATTTGTAGATCATTTGTTCAGTAACCCTTATTCAGTATGTATTAAAAACATGACTGATGTTCAATTATTTGTCATTGTACATATTTGTACATGTATGTACATTAAAAAATTAGTATTTTATGTTTAAAACATACAAATTACTTGCACTGAATTTTCTAAGCACAAATACTCATTGAATCATTAACATCCAAGAGGAAAAGTGATTTTTTTCCTACTATTAAGAAATTAATATTCACTACATCACTGCAAGTTGACTTTCGAAACTGTACAAATACTGATACAGAATACATTAGAATGAAACATTCTTCATCGATCTATTTCTTTCTACCTGTTTTTGTTATTTGTTAAGTCTAGATGGCCGATAATGACTTTTTTTCCTGTTTATCAGAAACACTATATATGATGTTTGGAATGGGAGTTTTCTAGAGAAAAATCAATTGTTTACCTGGGGTTCTATTTGTATGGTGGATATTCCTCTCATGTCTCACTTCCAGTTACCATGGCAATATAAGTCAAACCAGTTTACTGTTATGACTGTAATGTATTCCACCCAAAGATGAAGTATTTTTGGTACTTTTATACCGAATAAGTTTCTTCAAGAGTCGGTCAATGAAATATTTTTAAGATAAACTGAATGATAAAAATCATTTTTGATAGGGGAAAAAAAATTGCAGTATTGAGAAAAACTCCAGCATAGCAAGGTGCATTTTTGTCCTTCATATATTTGATTCATTAATTCCATATTGATTTCTTAAAATCCATTTTCAAAGGAAGAATTTTTGCATAAATTGACATCCCACTGAAGTTGAAGTCCAATATCATATCCTGGTCCAAACAATATTATCCAGGTGACACTAAATGGGTGCTAGAATTCATATCTATCTGTATCTTAAGGTTGAAGCCATATTGGAAAAAAAAGTCAACTGTTTCTTGATTTTCAACCACAATTGGCTCCTTCCTCTGAATAAATCCAAGTTATTCAAACATCGTTGAGTATCTTTGTATTGAAGTACAGGTAAATCCTGTCTTGATGTGAGTTCAGGTAAAATTGATTAGGAAGAATCATCTAAGAATGGTAAACGACCTTTCAGCTTCCTTATTATTTCGACCATCATGGGGAAAAAAAAGAAATCGTGAGGAAATTCTGTGTTTACCTGTAATTCTGAGGTAGGATTAAAACATTCATCCATGGATTTAAGTCCTGTCTCTACCCATATAGTGGCAGATAATTAATAGTAAATCCCTTTTTCTTCAATATTGCCAATGAATATGACAAAAGTGACACACAGCCAGCTACATATTAGTGAATTTCACATTGGAAACAGGATAACAGGGAGAAAATGATGGTCTTAGCATGTTTTACTGCACTTTACTTGATTACATCACATTTTAGTGCGGTGATGTGTTTTTTTTAACACGGATAAGTTAATGGCCATTGATTTCAAAGATTGGACAGATTTTGAATTGCATGTGTCTATTTCAGCCAGAGGCTGCAGTATTGATCATTTCACCTGTATACTCACTATTCTGCATACAAAGTATAAATTATCACTCCCAGTTGATGATTATAGACTATTTTTAGACTATCATCAAAGAACTGGTGCAATCAAGTGCAGCAGCCTCTAGAACTGATTTATATTCACATTAGAATTGGTGTTGATGATGCATCAAAGGTTTAGAATTGGAAAGTTTTAGCAAAAAAAAAAAAAAAGAGAAGGTGGAGGGTCAAAGGAAAAGGTTGATCTGTTCCCCTGAAAACATCTACAGTAAAACACGATTATTGTGAATTGCCAGGGATGCACAATTTTGATGGGTTAGGGTTAGGGTTATTACTATTATTTTATTCTTAATGTAATTTGTTGTATGCGATAAGTTCATTATGCAGTTGAACTTCAGAATCTCAAATACCAGGGATATGTAGAAGTGATTAGATTGTCCCATCCACTTATTCTTTAAGTATTTTAACCCTGATATCTTAAATCCTTGGATATCTCAAAGTTTTTTCTTGTTCCCATCGAGTTCGAGATAACAAGGTTTGACTGTATATATTTTAAAACTATAGGGCATGAAAATTACTTTGCTCTAAATGTGAATTCATTATAAATTGTTTGATTAACAAAGTTTTAATGTATATTAAATCAGGAACTTTTACGTATTCATGTACCAGTATTTACAGTTTCAGAAATATGTTCATATTACAAAAGCGAGAATTTCTGATACCCTATGTGTTTCATTTCTTCAAGTGACAGCTAAGTTTCTAAAGAAATTTTTTTTGTGTGTGAATTTTTTTCACTTGCAATAAAATTTGTCCTACCTTGTCCAGATGTGAGTGTTTGTGATCATGGATCTTACTGTGGTCAGCGTGGCTAGAATTAATGCCAGGTAACATGGTCAACACACAATCATTAGAAAAGGGCTCCTAGACATTCAAGATGTACAAGTATTCAACCCAAAATCATTGTCTATCTACAGGAAGTTTTTCAGAGTTTTTAAAAAAAAATCTATGACCCATAATACTTAAAAATTAATAATTAAGATCTCTGGCAACTTCGAACAGTTTTCAGAGTCGTTCACGGCATTGATTGCAAATAATGCCTTCTCGGATGAGTGAATTTTCAGTAATTGTAGCATGTTTGGTTGTGTGATCACACAGAAGTAGCATGCTTATAGTTGATCTGTAAGACAAAGGATATTAAATGAAGTGTCAGAGATTAATTACTGAATGTGATCAGCTATCTAAGGAGATCTTTTGGACCCCTCTAGAAGAAGAATGACGTGCTGATTTGTCACAATTTACAGTAATGAATAAAAAAAAAAAAACTACATGGGGTAGATATAGACTATTTCAACCAAAGATTGGCTAATCCATTCTTTTTGAGTTAGTGAAGTTGCTTTATTATAATAAGCACTGGGGAAAAAAAATTTATATCCTTTTCATAGTTTTTATTCCATCTAATAAGAAATTCTCTTTATTACGTAATTTGTTCATCCCCATAAAATGATTTTAATATTTGAAAAGAATATTTGACAATTATTAAAATTAAAAAATAATTGTCTAATAAGCTTTTTGACCTTGAAATTTCAGGTATTTAAAAAGACTGTTTTGTATTAATAACGATTTGAAATAATAAACTCTAGCTGACAGAGTTAATTACAGCTGTTACCCAGTGTTTGCCATTCCCCAGTTAGGGCTTTGTTATATTATTTTGATAATCAATTTAGGGAATGTATCTTCTGTGTCTATCAATGAATCAATACAAGACTCCAGTCAAGATCTATTTATAGAACTCATTTATTTATGCATCATTTTAAAAAAAAAAAAATCAGGTGTAAAATCAATTCAGTATTAGCTCTAATGTGTAATTCTTTGTACACAAGCTAAATTGATGAAGTAGGAGATTAAAAAAAAGATGCATACATACGAGATAATTAATAGACAAAGACACAAGAGGTGCCGAAATGGTTTTTTGTGCAGTTTGTCTGGGGAAAGTGCTACTAAGCAGGTGTTCTGAGATTCTTGTTTTCCAGCGAAACACCAGTAAATCTACCCACAAGCAGTGCTAGTCAGAAAGTGGAGACAGACAAAAGCCTCCATTTCATCAATTCTAATAGGTACTTGGCATCTCCATGACGTTAGTTGTCGCCATGGATACCGTTAAACAGTCAAGTTTATTGAGGGAAAAATGGCATTGCAAGAGTTGAGCTATGTCCATTTCTATTAGTCAAATTGGCAGAGAAATTCCCCATCCTATGGGGCCGCTTTGTATAGGATGAAGAAGCCGTTGCATGTTGATGCACTTGGTGCTTCTTTTATAGGTCAGCAATTTGCAGTATCTGTATTAAAGATGATGTTTAAATGTCATGCTCTGTTGGATTGGAAAGAATCGAGTGGTTAATGGAATTTATATTTGCAAACAATGAGATGGACTTAATTTAAGTAAATATGTATCTTAGTTAGGAATTTGTTGCAAAGTATTATTGACTCTTGATAAATAATATAGTATTATGCAACAAAAAATGCTTCGACATTAGTAACAAAAACAAGAGCATAAATTGTTTTGCATCAAAGTACTTGATTAAATACTATAATAAAATGTTGTGAGCTCTATGATGGTAATTGTGTATTACACTGTAATAAATTATATCTCTCCAAGAAATCAATTTACGATGTGGCCCCAAATTGGTTAAATGTATTGCAAGAAGGATAACTTTTGCAGTGCAAAGAATGCCCCCAATTGTTGCATGTGTGCAGCCATCTAAAACCCTGCCCAGTTAGCAGAAGATTAATGGAAGAATAAAGACAGGGTGGGGAAAAAAATCATACAGTGTACAGATTATGGGGAAAGTTGTCGGGTAAAAAAAATATGAGGATAGTAAAATACAGTTTTTGATCATGAAAAAAAAAGGTATTGTTACCTTGAACCATGAAGAGATCCAAACATCCATACAGATGAAAAGCTTCTAAACTCCCCAACAAACTTACTCACTTCTCACACATTGCACTTGTCACATGCCATCCCCCTCACCAACACACAGTAGTACATGCTTGTGAATTCCTATCATCATTATTAGCCGATGTTAAATCAGAGACAGATTTTTTTTACAAGTTGTTTTTGTCTTTGTTCTGTTGTAGTTTTCGTACAATGTGACAGGGAAAAGTGGTTTGGGGATCTGATTATGAATCTCAGATTATAAACATTTTATGAAAGCGGGAAGTTTTTTTTTCCCCCCCTACTGCTAATTTAGCCCAATTGTTGTCCTTGTGAAAACCTACTCAGATAGTTCGCTGATTGCTCAGATTATAGCCTAGGGTCCTTTGAGACTTTCTTTTACCTCCACTGCACATTGGTAAATTGGATCTTTATTGTCACCGACTTTGAAAAAAAGGCCTTCAGATAAACCTATAATAATTGCAACATGTAGATATTTATACAGTAGACCAAAGAAATAGGTCAGCCTTTGCTATACCAACCTGTACGTGTACAATTCAGCAATTCCAGAAAACTGATATATCACACTTTGAAACAATCCCTAATGATATGTGTCCTTTTTTTGCAGGGGACCCAAGCAATGCTGCCACAAACACTGGAGATCCATACAAGACACTGTTCGTGGCTCGAATCGTAAGTAGAATAGACTTCTGAGACCCACCCCTGATTATGTTGTCATAGTAAGTTCTCTGTCCTAGCATCAGGCTGGGACTGGTGAGGGATAATGGATTTTTTTTTGATGGAAAGACTCTTATTTTTGGGTCATTAGCCAGATTAATTCCCACTATATTGCTAATTAGAATATATTGACAAAGTTGCTGTCGCCAAGCATCTTGTGATAGAATTTGCACATACATTGTTGCAAAACAAGGGGCAATATTTAAGATCCATGCCTTTTATAGGTGAGAACGGAAGCATACACCCCTTGGTTACAAAAGCTCCTGGTAACATTAATATCCAAATTTTCTAAATTTCCAAAATCTTCCTGTGCATTACGCTTACGTGAGATAAATATAAATTGAGAAAGTCGTGTCTTTTCTGTCAGAATTTTATGTTTATTGCTTACACTTTGAAAAGGAATTTATTGAAATTTTTGACGAATATTAAATCTTTTATCATGAAACTCTTTTTATCTGTAATCATCTGGTCATTAACTGGAGCCATAAAAACACGCACACACAAACATAAAAACTTATTTTAGTAAGTTTGGAACAAATTTTGGAAACCAATGATTGACATCTATAACCCCAAAATACAGATAAACTACAGCTGCTGAAACCACGGTCAAGAGAGACAACTCTGCCATCAGTAAAACATTTCTTCTGAGTCAAGTAATTGAAGGTGTATAATTTCAAAAAAAATGTAGAATATAATTTTCAATCATGGGCTTAAAGTAAAAAACAGATGTGTTAAATTTGGTAATAAATGTTAGTTTGTCCCATAACTGATGTGGAAATGATACACAAGAGAGAGCATAAGTAAGTTCATATATATTCTTAACCATGAAATTTTTCATGCACGTTAGGCATTGTTAAGCTTTCAAATATAAAATTTCCTTTTCACTGATTTTGAAATGCATTGGGGATGCCAGCTGTAAAGTAGATTAATAAGATGAAGATATTGATTTATGTATATAAGTAGATAGACAGTAGTATAATGAGAAGACACCTGTTAATTAAATATTAAAATTTCATCTCATTGCATAATGTTAAAGTAACAAAAGTAATACCTTTAATGTGTCCTCATGACACTTAATTTACATATTTTATATACATTTACACAAAAGTCAAAAATATATACTGGCAACAAGTGTAGGATCTGTTTAGAAAGGATATTGCCTTGGTAGTATGGCTGAAGTTTGGCAAACATATGATGAAACTTAAGAGACTATGATGAAGAGGGGTTGGAAGATAGCCTTCAATTATTTAACAGCAATATGTTGCCAGAATGTTGACTTACCAAAAAGAACTCTAATGTCACTTGACATGTTGATGATATTGTATAATCAATGAACATTGAGATGTATGTAACAGTTTGTGAGGGGTTTATTGTTTGACCAATAGATTGTTATACTCAAAGAAGAGCAGATGCTTTTTATACACTCTAATACTGCATTAACCTGAATACTTCTGTAGTGAGAACATGTCTCAAAATTTTGCATTAACACATTTACATAGGTATAGGTGTTAACAATCTGTTATTCCTTCAGCATGTGTAAAGTTAATTGCATTTCCTAGACAAAATCTTGTGAATTGTTTCTGCCCTATACATTGGCTGATTGGAGTAATTCATTGCTGATGAAGAACTCACAATCTGAAAAAAAGATATGTACAAATTTTAGAGCTAGATTAAAGATAACTTAAAAAAGGAGGGGTGGGGATGATAAAGTGATTTAGAGTTGGTAGCAGCTCTAAATCACAGCAACCAAATGAGAAAACAGGGCACCTGTGAACCAGTTTGCCTTAAACCAAACAGGTAAGTCTTCTCATCAGAGGAAAATTGAGTAAAAGGAACATTCTGAGCCAGTTTCCAGTTTTACCATCTTATAAAAAAAATAAAAATCTTTACTTAAATTTTGGACAGTGCTGGACAATTAGCAGTTACTGCTGCCTTTTGTAGGCAAAATATTGAGGCTTGTATAGGTTACAGTTTCTGCGGATATGGTGAGTTTGTATGGTGGTCAAAAGAATTTCCAGGACTCTAAAATAATGGTGCAAAGAAGTAGGCCACTATTTCTATAAATATACCTCTGCAAAGGGCAATTCAATCAATAATATATTAAAACCAGGATTAAAATGTAGCAGTGAAAGTAAGAAGATAGAGTTTGCAAAAAAAGGAGGCAAAGAAGAAAAGATACAGAGATGGTTCATCATCTATTGTATTAAGGATCCTTTATTTTGGCCTCATCATATGGAGTTATATCAAGAATCACATTCATTTCTTATTTACACAAAGCTTAGCTCTTACAGTGTGTTTTAAGTATACCTGCACATTTATAAGGTAACATTTCCAAGAGTGCAAATTAAAATATAGTTGCTTATATACCTTGCCAGAATTGAAACTTAGCAACTTCTTTCAATTTTGTGATTGAAATAAGTATGAGCAGCTCTTAGTAGATAATTATGCTAAACATTTTTTTTTAAGTACTCATTCATTATTCACAAACTTACCTCTCTAGTACTTGCGTATCTAAACATCATTTGAATTTTAGTTTTATTTCCAATAAAATATTACATTCCCTGATGGTCACAAACGCAGCACCATTAACTTGTAGCTATCCCATTATCGCAACAGTGACAGCAGTTTTAAATGACAGATTATCAAGAAAGAATAACTCCCTCTCATAAAAAAAGTATTCCTTTCAATATTTTTGTTGTATTATAAGTTCTGAATATGTCACATGTTTGCAGAGAAGCAACATCTTGTGTCTTAAGAGCATGACAGTTCCCTTGGCAAGCCGAACATGATAAACACTGTCTATTTGGTCACATATGTCTATTGGGGTTCCTGCTTCAGTGGATTGGAAAGACAAATTTTTTTTTTTTTCACTTTTCACATTTATTCATGATAAATGCTGACAAAGAGGAGCTTCAGGGAATGACTGCATGAATATTGCAGTAGAGTGTAATCTCGGGGGATTCAGATGGTGAAAGCAAGCACTTTAGTGTCACAAAATCTTCTTCTTGTTGGGTCACATGTCAATAAATCTCATCCAATTTGAACACATCTTTATCTTTTACAAGGATGCATTTACAGAATACACATTTCTAAAAACCCTAGCACGCATATAAAAAAACTTAAGTTTCACTCAGTATTTCATGTTTTACCCATTTTTTTTCCATCGCAGAAAATTGATCAGAATTTATACATAGTCCGTTTAGGATTAAAATTGATGGCATCATCTTGGTGTTGTCTAAACATTAGTAATCTGAACAATATGAATGGGTGGGTACTTGCTCATGTTACTGATGGTGATCAATGGATAATGGCTGAGGTCTATATATCTGTATTAATGGTCACAGGTAGATATCGGAGACTAGGATTTAATCACCTCTGGTCAACACGGTGTATGCGTTGTGGATGATGTTGAAAGTGTTTGTCCAGAGAACATTAGAACACCATGCCAAAAAATTTGTATAAATAAGGTGAAAAGGACAAATGGATAACCTAAAATAACATGTTGTGTTGAATCTACTGTTGAAGTGAAAAAACTGTATATATACATATCTATTTAAATGCTATTCATCCCTAACGATCTTTTTGTACCAGTAAAATTCAATCTCTTTTTAGTACTTTAACTTAATTGATTTAAGTTTAATTTATTACAGTCAGGTCTCTGTATTTGTTTTCCATGCTTTTTTGTAAAAAGACATTTAATACTGCAATTGTTTTTCAAAAAATTCTGAATTATTTCCTAAGTACAGTTAATTCTCGATAAACCGCCACCTTTTGTAATTTAGAAATCATGGCGGTATAACGAATTTGGCGATGAATTGAATTTCCCATCTTTGGGGAAACAAGAAATAGAGTTATGTTCTTGGAAATAAAACATTTAGCATTTATATTCTTGGTATTATATAAAAACACATTTCAAAATTTGACAATGCTTCAAATAGTTTTTTTTAATGTAAAATAAAAACGTAAATGTTACATAAACTAATAACTCAAGTTTAACAACATCCGTTTTCATGCCGAAGCCATGTTTAAATCAAATTTTATTGAACAGAAAACAAAATTATAATTACAGTTGACGTTAAAAATTATTTTAGTTTAGTTTATTTCATTCTTTAATTATGTGTACCTTGTCTGGCTTTACAAAGGTGATCTAGATAGCGACAACCAATGCACCTGTGGCGGTATATCGAGATAATTGACACTTTGATATGGACATTTGTTGTGAAAACAGGGTGGCGGATGGCGGTATGTGAATTTGGCGTTATAAAGAGAATTTTATATAGCAGGAAAAACGTTCTTGAAAAACCATGGCGGTATTGCGAGAATGGCGATGAATCAAATGGCGATAATTCGAGAATTGATTGTAGCTCAGTGTGAATTTGGACCAAAACAAAATGACGTAACCAAGTAAATAAAGATGGCATACTTTTTGGCTTTTTGAAAAGTTTTAATATATAACTAGATTTGGAGATTGATAAAGTTTCATATACTTTTTTTAAAGTTTTAGTTGAACCTCCGTAGTTGAGGAGAAAGGATTGCTTGATTGTATGTTGTTTTACGTCCATTCGAGAAAATTTCACTCATATAGAGATGTCACCTTATACCGGTGAAGGGCTTCAAATTTAGACCTTTACTCGGTACTCAGGTCCATTGAGCAGAGGGTTCTTTATCATGCCAACACCTACAGTGACGGGCCCTCAGTTCATAAGGCCTCATCTGAAGAACCCACAACCTTCACTTCAAAGTGCCAACCGCTTGGCAAAGGAACAGCTGCTACCTATTTTTTATCGACTTAGGTCAGTCGCGGCCATGATTTGAACACATGACCTTTCGATCACAGAGCAAGGAAAAGGGCCACGAAAGGCATATCTTGTTAAAAGCATTTAAAGTTTGTTTTGAATAAATTTTTTATTAAAATGAATTTTGAAGGTTTTTGGTTACCTTTCCAATCATCATTG